CCACAAAGGAATGAGTCACCACCACCTCCCTAGGTAACGCATTCCAGTGCTTCACCACCCTCCTAGTGAAATAGTGTTTCCTAATATCCATAAAAAGTGTAGTAACTATATACAACTGTTGCATAACTATCATTTGATAGGAAGCCTCCGTTCCAATTAGTCAAACTGTCATAGTTTTCTTGCTGTATATACATTCCACTCTCTCATTGTAGGAACTGAAAGTCTCCACTGTGCTCCAGTGCTGCAAAGCTAGTGTGATTTACTGGCCGAGTTATGTGTGGGCAGGCAGACAGACATAACAACAGGTGAATTTACCAGTACCTTGACACCTGATGCTCCCTAAGGTGCTCCCACCTCCCTCCCCACCTCAGTTAGGTAAAACTTTGCTTCCAACTTTTTATTAGATTTGCTTTCAACAAACTCTAATTACAATTCTTATATTTGTTCTTAAAGCTAAAATCTGTGTTCTAATGATAAGACTTAAATCCAAACAGACAAAAGCTTTCATGTTGAAGTGTGGGCCTCAATAGAGAGCTAATAGGTACAGCTCAAGCTAGTTAGTAGAGAAAATTGTAATAAAGTCAATCTGATTAACTGATATCATTTTAGGGAATAGATTTTATTTTGTCCTTTGGATACAATACAGAATGTATACGGTTAACATAAAAACCTGGTAATAAGGATATTTTTTCTGCCACAGGGGAGTCCTAGTTAAGTGACTAATTCTAACACCTTAGGTATGTAGATAAATATTGAGTAAATAAGAGTATCACACACACAGAGGGCCTGTCTCTCCTCTCATGCCAATTTTGCACCGCTCTAACTATGAATGTCAATGGAGTTGTCTTTATTTACACTGATGTAAAATGAGATCAGAATCATACCATGTGTATCTTTCATACTTTATATTCTGAAACCTGCTGACATTCAGAGCCTATTGCAAAGCTCAATAATTTTCCCAGGCTCTCTTTAAAGGCTTGTCTGCACTGGGAAAATTCATTCATATGTGCTAACACACATGGTAATACACAATGTTCAACACAACTTAGCACTCATTTTATACAAGCACTGTCAGATTTAAAATCATGTCAACTGGTCATGGTTAACCCTCGGTTCCTGAACCTGTAAAAACTTATGCATGTGCTTAACTTTACACTTGAGAATAGTCCTATGGGAACACACACATTCCAAGAGTTAAACAAGTGTACCTGATTGCAGTATTGTGGTCAGTATTGTGTTACTTGACACAAGTTATAACAAGATGCATCTTCCTAGCATAGACAAGCCCCAAGGAGGGTTTCATAGATATGTGCAATTATACTACATTACAGGGGATTTTTTTAGAAACACCTGCAACTTTTGTTTAAAATAAACGAATAGATAGTGTTGTGCCTCAGTGAAAGCCACCATTTAACTGCTTCTCCCAGCAGGAAGTCCTTATCAACTGATTATCATTTGTGACAAAGAAAAACTTCCTCTGAAAGTGAATTTATTAGCTGTAGTATTTGGCCATATTGTAGTCTAGTCTTCCTCCTTAAGCTATGGACAGCTTCAAATAAGTTAGCCTGCAGCTTAATGGGATTTTCAATCAATCCTGTTAAGCTAACTCAATTAAGCAAACATAATTGAAAAAAAAACACCCTTTTTGCCTGTCAAGACAAAGCCCTACCAAGAGAGCCAGAAGAATTCAATTTATTCCAATTGTTTACTTTTTGCTTCTGCTTTTCCAATTATTTAACAGAAGAACATCAAGATAGGCTACTACAGTTGGCAGACTGAGCTTTCCTATGTAAGCACACCTGAGAAACGCTACAGTTTATCTCTATGTCTGCCAGTACAGACAAGTATATGTTGTTTATGATCAAGTTTCTACATTTCTGCAAACTGCTGCTATATTTATCTTTCATCTCACAATAATTTAAACATTAAACACATACACAGAAGTATAGTGCTGTCAGAAAGTGCCTAGACTTAAAGGTTCTGCTCTACATCTATTTTCATGTATTTGTAACTGCTGTAAACATTCACTCTAGACTAAAATTTGGCATTCAAACTATCGGACTGCTCACACTCCTATTGAAGTCAATGGGAAGTTTGCCAGGTTTATGCATGGGAAATGTTTAAAATGGTTCAAATAAGGTCTGCTTGGCTGTTTCATATCTGCATAAGCACAGAAAAATAGTTCTTAGGCATTTTCACCCTTCCCTGATTCCATCTGGGTAATACTTGCTACAAGAGTAAAATTGTATGAGTCTTTGGCCAGTTCATTATAGATGTCTATATGATAATTTAACAGATACATTTTTAAGAATCACACAGAGCAATGGAAAAACATTTAAGTATTTAATAACCAAAACAAATATTTATTGAAATATAATTTTTCAGGCCAATATGCTGAATGGCAGACCAAGGCTTCAGTTATTTTCAGAACTAATCTTTGTAAAAAGCATCAGTACACAGATTTTAAAAGTGGCTAACAGAGGCTCAGAAGCAGTAACAATACTTTTCATAAATATTTTCATCAAGCAAGTTTCATATACATTTATTACAGAAAACATGCATACTTTGCTACTGCCTCATTTACCTGGTATACTGAGAATATCATACATCCAGTGCTCATACATCATGATCATACATCAAGATTTCCAGACCAAAGTGGTTTGGATAAGCACCCAGAACTCAAACATCATGACTTAAAGAGTGCAAAGTATGAAAAGTGAATCAACAGTTAGTTAAACAAAGTACTCTCCCATTTATATCATTTGTTCAGTTTTACTTTACAAGGATCAGTTAATTAAAAGAACTCTTTCAAATAAGAATTATTTCTACCCTGATGCACAATGTCCCTTTGGGGCTGAAATTTCAAAATATGGCATTTATATTTTCTCTTATACATCTTGCACATATAGGCCTTGAAGCTAATGAGACTCACATACTTAAAGTTAATCATGTGCCTAAGTAGGCAAGCCATTTGTCCGATTTTAAGCTGGACAGTTCTACTTTTCTAAGGTTTGTCTCATATCCAGTACTGAGACAAAATCGGACATAATTTTGTCCAGCTCCAGATGGGGAGGTGCCATTTTGAAGAGCGCATTGCCCTGCCCCTGCCGGTGCACTCGTCAAAAGGGCAGCTCCCATATGGAGTGACCTCACACTGGTGGGGATGGAGTCACACAGGTGAGGGCAGGACATGTCGTTCCCAGAAGTACTGGAATTCTGGGGATGCGTGAGTGGCCATCCTCTGTCTAAGTGTTTTGCTGTAATGAAAGCATAAACATTTGTGTGTGTTTGTGCATGTATTTTCTATTGATTGCATATGCAAGTAACAATATTGTACACACTGTTGTATGTGCATAAATAGTAGACAGGTTGACCCTTTTAAAATTATGACCCACAAAGTCCTGCATCAAGGTACAGTTAGCTGCATTATGTATGGACTTTGCTTTGTGTCACATTCCAAAGACTGGAAAGCTTTGAAACAATTATTAAAGTAAAAACCATTTCAAAACCATGCATACTCAAAGGATAGGCTTTGAAGAATGTAGATAAGGGGAAAATGAGGTATAACAAAATCAAAAGCACTGAAGCTTGTCAATACTTACCATTGAGCCACTTGGAGTTGTACTGTGCAGTGCGGAGAGGAGGAAGAGCCCCCAGACTGCGGTAAATGGCAGGATCCCTTCCTGGGAAATCCATGGCTGTAGCAGCATATAACTCCCCACTGGAAGTGAGAAGAGCTGTGGAATTGTGTTGAGGACTGTATGGACAGCGAGCCATGCCACTGATCTGATCATGTATCTCTGTCAGGTTGCTTAACTGGAAAAGACAACAAAAATCACATAAGCATGACAAGATGAGTCAAACCACACCATCAGTGAAGAAAAATACCATAAGCTCAGCAAATGTCTCATATTACCATAACACAGTGCCAAGCACACTTCTTTATTCCAGGCCCATGTTAGAAATATAATGACTTTCTGGTCTTCCTATCTTTCAGATCCAAAGAAACACAGTGAGGAAAACATTTACATTAATTAATTAAGAATTATACTTAAAATGTTATTTATTAGCAGCAACTTAGAAAATAAATTATGTATATGACACTCCTCTGAAGTGACAAAAATGAGGATGTGTGTATCTTGGTAATATCCTATCCTACGCATTAATATATTAAAGAATGATGATATACCGCCAAAAACTATATTCGATGTACAACGGTCATAGGTCTTTTGTCGTGAAAGTTCATAGATCTAACTGTTACAGAGCAATTGGCTAGAGGGCACAGAAACATTATCCTCTAGTTTTGTTGGTGTCTTCCAGGACACAGGGATAATGAGCTCAAAATAACAATGAGCTTTCCAGCCCAATGGAACTGAGGGTATGATTTAGTAGGCCCTAATACACTCAACCACAAACCACAGTTTTAAAGCCAATATGCTATTTTGGAAATTGATGTGCAGTAAGTTTAAATTGTGTACATGTTCCCAGAGGTTTGACACTGAGCAGATTTATTTTTTAAAATACAAACAAAACAAAACACCAATAAATGGTCACCATATTCCAGCCAGCGGTATTTTGATGTTTATTCTAATTTTAATTAATCCTTGACACATTCTCTCTCTCGTTATCTCTCTCTCTCTGATATATCCTTAATCAATAATTTTCTTTTTGACATCTTTTAAGTCCATAAATTGTGGCTGTGTTAAAAATAGCAGAATAAACATTTCCAAAAATTTGGAGGTTTGTTGCTGACACCAATCAGAAATCAGAGTAATATATATTATCATCTTAGCTAAATCTATCTGTACATATCTGCATCAACCTTTCTTTACTTTTGTTGGCCCACAATTACATTCATTAGATATACAAATTTTACACAATGGAATGCACACACCAAGTTTTTGTGACTCTCAATTTTATGTACCTAAGTCCTGATTTATACACCCAAATGTGGATTTTGGACACCCTGTTAAACTTAATACATTTGAAATGTGGCTGTGTATTTCATCTCTTGTGTACTGCTATATTGTGAAATATACTGAGGTGTAAAATTCTAAGAAAACATTCAACAAAATAACTTAAATAAAAAGGGGATGTCAGTTTCATGGTTTTACCATAACCTAGGGTTACCATATTTGCACAATCAAAAAAGAGGACACGGGGGGGGGGGAGGGAGGAGCCCCGCTCTAGGCCCACCCCTGCCCTGCCCCGCCCCCATTCACTCCCTCCCACTTCCCACCCCTGACTGCCCCCCTCAGAACCCCCAAACCCCCCACTCCTTGTCCCCTGACTGCCCCCTCCTGGGACCCCTGCCACTAACTGCCCCCTAGGACCCTACCCCCTATCTAAGCCTCCCTGCTTCTTGTCCCCTGACTGCCCCCTCCTGAGAACCCCCCACCCTAACTGCCCCGCTAGGACCCTACCTGTCCCCTGACTGCCCTGACCCTTATCCACACCCCCACCCCATATTCACACCCCCGCCCCCAGACAGATCCCCGGGACTCCCATGACCTATCCAACTACTCCCCGCCCACTGACAGGACCCCCAGAACTCCCGACCCATCCAACCCCCTCTGCTCCCTGCCTGCTTCGACCCCTCTTCACACCCCTG